CGAAGGGTGGAGGGTCACGGAAGCTACTCTTAACGAATATATAGCAAAGTCCAAAGGTAGCTTTCCAATCGAAAATAACAAAAGCCCAGAAGAATTAATAGATAATATAACAAAATTGTGTGATCGAGTGTTTAAAAAAAGGTGTAATACCACGGGACATAAAGGAGTCTACTGGTGGAACACTGAAATTGCGACTAAAAGAAAAAAGTGTAATGGAGCGCGAAGAAGATTAACCAGACTCAGAACGAAGCATGCTCTAGAAAACGAAATTCGAGAAGCATCGGAGAACTATAAAAGACTTAAGAGAGAATTAAAAAAACTAATAAACAAAAGCAAGCTGGATAAATGGAGTTCTCTTTGTAACGAACTAAATGAGGATATCTGGGGGAAGGCATATCTGATTGTTATGAACAGACTAAAGCTTAGAAACAGACCTCCAATAGGCGAAGAAGTGGTCTCGGAACAAATTTCGAAACTATTCCCAACTCAGGAGAAAAACGAGAAGAAGGTTTTTAATATACCAGATAAAGAAGTACCCTTATTTACGGAGGAAGAGCTAGATAACGCAATTAAGAAAGTTCGGAAAAAGAAGGCACCAGGCCCGGATGGTATTACTCCCGAAATTTTAGTAGCCAGTGTGATGGGTAACAAGAAGACCTTTCTGTATGTTTTTAATGATTGTCTTAAAAAAGGAGTCTTTCCAATGCCTTGGAAAATACTGAACTTAGTGCTGATACAAAAGCCGAAGAGCGACGCAGACGGTAGACCAACTTACAGACCGATCTGTCTAGAGCCAACGGTAGCGAAACTGATGGAAATTCTAATCAGGGATAGGCTCCATAAAGAAATAGCAGAAAAAGGATTGGTTAGTGATAATCAATATGGATTTAGAGAAGGCAGGTCAACAATACACGCAATTAAAAAGGTACAAGACGTAGTAGACAAAATTAAGAAAAAGTCGATGAAGAACCAGGAGCTGTGTGTAATGATAACACTGGATATAGAAAACGCCTTCAATACCGCCCCATGGAATCACATATTATTGGCACTTGAAAAGGGAAATGTCAGCCAGTACATGATACGAATAGTACAAGCGTATTTATCAGAAAGAAGTATAATAGCTCCGAATAGAATAGTCCGCGAGATCACATGCGGAGTACCACAGGGGTCAATTCTGGGACCTACCCTATGGAACGTCTTTTACGACGGAGTTCTAAGGCTTAAAATGGAGAGCGGAATAGAGCTGATAGCCTATGCCGATGATCTGGCAATTGTAGTAAAGGGAAAAACTGGCGCAGAGGTTGAAGATAAGGCTACATATGCTGTGGAAAACGTGGTTCGGCATCTGGATGGGATTGGAATGAAGGTGGCGCGCCAAAAAACCGAGATTGTCGCTCTTCAGGGTAGAAGAAAGGCACCGAGAATGACGGTGGGCGTGTGTGGATATGGGGTGGAAAGTATACCCATGATAAAATACTTGGGCGTATACATGGACAAGGATATGCGGATGACTGTACACGTCAAGAAAATAACAGAGAAGGCAGTTACGATGATAAAAAATCTGCGCAGAGTTATGCCGAAAATCGGAGGCCCACGAGACAGCAAAAGAAAACTCCTGGCATGCACGGTCTTATCGGCAATGCTGTATGCCGCACCTACATGGGGTCGGGCAATGAAATATAAATACTACAGAAACTTACTGCAATCGATGAACAGGAGACTGGCAATCGGCGTAACGTCGGCGTATTGCACGGCTTCTGCTGCTAGTGTGGAGGTCATAGCGGGCATGCCCCCCGCGGATCTATTGGTGGAGGAGAGAACAAAGATCTACGCAAATGGGAAAGAATATAAAGCCGAAGGTAGAAAGAAATTGATGGAGGAGTGGCAGGCAAGATGGGACAAGGAAAAGGGGTGGACGAGAGTACTAATTCGGAATATAGAGGAATGGTGGCTGAGAGGCTGGGGAGAGGTCGACTATTACTTGACCCAAGTCCTGACTGGGCATGGCGTGTTTAAAACGTACCTGCATAGAATTAAGAAGCGAGACTCGGGCAGCTGCTGGTTCTGTGATATGGAAGACACCGCGGAACATACGGTCTTTGTCTGCGAGGAGTTCGAGGAAGAGAGAAGAGCCTGTGCCAATGTATGCGGAGAAATTTTGAGTCGAGACAACTTGGTGAAGCATATGCTGGACAAAGAAGTCAAATGGATAGCTGTTAAAAAAATGGTTACAGAAATTATGAGAAAAAAGTTACGACACGAGAAGGAAATAGAAATAAGAGAAAATAATATGGAAGAAGCACCATAAAGGAAGCGTGGATGGAAGGTTGGACTGTATGGAGGAAGATGAAGATAAAAAGAGGGGGGTACCAAAACCCCCCTCTTTCAGGTATGAAAAAAGGTATGATATTGATTTAAAAGTAAAGGATTTCTTTTTCTTGTTGTTCTCGCAAAACCAACTGATGGACGATTCGCTTACTGGCCGGAGGTGTATAAGGTAAAGGTGGGGGCCAAAGGAAAAAGAAGAGAAGTGAGGGGGCCAAACCCCTCACTTGCCGGGTATGATATTAAATCGTGAATATGACTGAAAAAGTAACGGGTGTTTTTCTTGTTTGTTTTATTTTTTGTGAATTCCATGCCAGAATGTTGAGCAGACGATCTTTAGGCGAAGTACCCTTATGGGACGCTCACCAACAAAGGGGAGCGTACAGCAGAGAACGTCGCCGACAAGCCCATCGTCGTCGGACGACGAGGGAAGAGAAGCAGATCGAACAGTAATTAACGTGGAAGAAGAAGAACCCGAAGAAATAAATCCAGCCAACAATAAAACAATTAAGGGTAAAAAAGAAAAAAAGGTAGAGGACTTTTGGGAAGGTCTAGAAATAAAAACCCTAGAGAAGGAAACTCCGGGGAGAATGAGAACCTGGTCTTTCAGTAGTAACCGAAGTAGTATAAGAGAAACATCACTTTGTAGAGAAGGAGAAACCAGTAAGAGAAAAAGAATAGAAGGAACTAATGAAGACACAGATGAGTTAGAGGAGGTTGATAACAGCGAAGAAGCAAAAGTGCTTGATAAATCAATACAGAAAATATTAACTCTGATTCAGGTGTTGAAAGAAAATAATGAACAAAATACAAAAAGAGAAATTAAGAAAGCCATAACAGATCTAGAAAGAGAAGCAAATGTCCTACAGAGAGAAGAAGTCAAAAAATGGATCAACAAAAAAGGGACGGGCGTGAAGAGCAGTAGAGTAGAAAAAATAGATATGAGTACGCAAACTGAGACTGAAGAACAGAAACAAGACCGAGAAAGAAGGGAAAAGATAAGAAAAGCAGAGAACTATGATGATTGGAGAATGATAGCAAACGACAGATGGAAGGAGGAAGATTACAGAAGAACATGCATAGTAGAGGGCAATCCCGTTTGGCAACAGAACACCCTCACAAAGGTAGTGCTAGTCGAAAAAGACGACCCTGAAATGACGAAAAGCATACAGCAACAATATAGAAAAGCATTTCCAGCCTTATCGGAGATGCATGAAAAAATGGAAGAGATGGAAATAGTCACTAGAAGCAGAATGAGAAATAGAGAAATAACTAAAAGAGAGAGAATATTTAAAATAAACTGTGATGAAACAGAAAAAGAAATATGGAGAAGTTTAGAAGGATTAAAAAGCGAAGTAAAAACGGAACAAAGAGTAGCATTGCATCACTTGAGATGCATGCCCCTGAATAAGTTAAGAAAGATGATAGAGATCATTTTTAAGGACACACCAGTGGAAATTGACATCTACACAACGGCAGCGAAGATAGAGGAAGAAAGGAAAAGCGAGAAAGAAGTGAATAGAAAGAAAACATATGCGCTAATTGTTGAAAACGCAGGTAAAAGTAAAAAATATAAAGACACAAATGAAAGATAAACATGAGGCCGAAATAATAGATGGAATAAGAAAGACGAGAGAGGGAAAGGTATTATTGACTACCCAAAAAAATAAATCCGCATTCAGGGAAATACAGAGACTGTTAAAAAATGAAGAGGGACAGATAGTCAACGAGAGAGGAATGAGGGAAGAAGAAAAGACGAAAATAATACATATAAAAGGCATGACGATAGGAACGGATCAGCAAGAAGTTAGAGATGCTATCCAAAAGAAAATTGGGAATATTACCGAAACTGAATTCAGCATAAGTTCGATGCGCCCATATGCAGAAAGTATGCTTGCGGTAACAGTACAGTTAAGTAGGGAAGGGACTGAGAGATTATTGAATGAAAAGAGAATTAGAATGGGGCTCGCAATGTGCCAAGTAGAGGAAAGAAGAGAGATAAAAAGATGCAATAGATGTTGGTCACCGCAGCATTTGGCGAGGAATTGTAAGGGAGAAGATAGATCGAGCAAGTGCTATAACTGTGGCCAAGAAGGACACAAGAACAAGAATTGCACTAACCCTATGAAATGCCTAGACTGTGGCTCAGAAGAACACAGAGCAGGAAGCAATAGATGCAAAAAGTTTAGAGAAATGTTGAAATATAACAAACAATCAGAGGAGAAGGAAAGACAAAAAGAGACACACAAAAAAGAAAACATGACCCAAGAAGTTGATATGGAAAATAGTACAGACATAAATCCCATGGAAGAGCGGGAGGGGAACATGGATATGACAAAAATATCGAATCCAGATGGAGAAAAAGAGGAGAAAAAAACGCAGACAATGACCGACAAAACAACAAGAAAAAACATGGAAAAAAAAGAAAATGCAAAAGTAGGAACTAATGATGAACGAGAACTGATTGAAGCACAGAAAGCAGAATGGACAAAGCAACAACCAAGAAAAGTAAAGAAGAGCGAGGAAAAGGGACTGAAAGAAACTTCAAAGTCCCAACATTTAAGCAAGTAAAAGAAACAAAAGAACTAAAAATATTACAAGTAAATTGTAATAGAAGATGGGACTGTCATGATCTGATTGAGAGAGAAGCGGAACAAGCCAACGTTGACGTAATAATGGGACAAGAACCAAACATTAGAAAGGCGATAAACCTACGGACGGATGAGGGAGGAGACTGTTTCATGATCAATTATAAAGGAGTAGGAAAACCCATAAAATGGTATAAAGGAAAGGGATACGTTGGAATACAAACAAAGAACTATAAACTTCTATCAGTATATTTCTCTCCAAATAAACCTATAGAAAATTTCGAGCAATTGTTGGATGACCTGGAGGGCATAATAAGACATACGAGTAAGCCAGTAGTTATTGGAGGCGATCTAAACGCAAGAACACCTATGGCGGGAGACTGCGTATTAAACAATAGAGGAAAGTTGTTGGAAGAATGGGTGACGAAGAACCAGATGGTGATAGCCAATAATCGAAATACCCCCACGTTTAGAGGCCCTCGAGGAACATCGATTATTGACTTGACGATCACAATGGAGAGAAATATAAAAAACATAAAAAATTGGAAAGTGGCAGAAGATGTAGAAATGCTTAGTGATCACCATATGATAAGTTTTGACATGCGAATGGGAGATGTAATAAAACCCATAAGAGAAACAGCGGGATGGAATTGTTCAGCTCATTCACTAACCATACTAGAGAAAAAATTTCAAGTAAAAACCGGAGGGATAGAGAATTTAAATCCGCAGTCCCTAGTAGAAACAATAACAGGCGCATGTAACGAATCGCTAAAAAAGAGAGCAAGCCATACACAGAGAAAACCAGTCTACTGGTGGACAAGAGAAATAGAAGAAACAAGAAGAGTTTGTGTGGCGAAACGGAGACGACTACAGAGAAACAAAAAAAGACAGAGTCAAAACATAATAGAGCAATTATCTACAGATTATACAGAGGCTAGGAAAAAACTAAGAAAACAAATTAAAGAATCGAAAGAGGCGAAATGGAAAGAGCTCTGCCATGAGCTAGAGGACAATATATGGGGAACGGCCTATCAAGTTATCACGAAGAGGTTTGGGGCAAGACGAAGAGAGGAACTAGATTGTGAAACCATTGAAAAACAATTTGAGAAACTATTTCCACAAATAACAGAGTCAGAAGAAGATGAGCAGGAACTGGGGAAAGATGCTGCTGAGTAGCCTGTTTTATTTGGAATGGAAGAGCTGGAAAGAGCAATGAAGCAACTCAAAGCAAGAAAAGCCCCCGGAGAAGATGTAATCACTAACGAGATTGTGAAAACCTGCGTGAAGGCGAACCCAAAAGCCTTCATAGATGTCTTTAATGGATGCCTGATGGAAGGAAGCTTTCCGGTTATCTGGAAGAAGGCTGTATTGCTGTTGATCCCAAAACCTGAGAAGCCGAACCAGGAAAGATTTTATAGACCTCTATGTCTACTCAGCGCAGTAGGCAAGGTACTAGAGAGATTGATAAATAATAGATTAATAGAAGAGCTCGAGGAGAAAAAAATTATAAGTCAAGCGCAATACGGGTATAGAAGGGGCAGAAGCACTGTAGATGCAATCATGGACGTGCTGTCAGGTACGAGGGAAAGAAAGAAAATATCATTAACCCATAGGGGGTTTGGAATCATGGTATTACTAGATGTTAAAAACGCGTTCAACTCCGTTCCATGGGGAGAGGTTAGAAAGGCGCTGAGGGAAGAAATTAGTAGTAGCCTACGGAGATTATTAAACTCGTACCTGAGAGATAGAAGCGTAGTTATTTCAGAAGAAAAAGAACGTAACATATCGTGTGGTGTGCCGCAGGGCTCGGTTCTTGGAGGCACCCTTTGGAATATCTTTTATGATAGAGTCCTTAGACAGAAAGTAGAGAGAGGAGTAAAAATTGTAGGCTACGCGGATGATCTCGCAATAGTGGTTTGGGGAGCAACAGCGGAGGAAATTAAGGATAAGGCAGAATATTGCGTAGATAACACCAAATGTATTCTAAAGAATATGGGCCTCCAGCTGTAACCAACTAAAACTGAGGTAGTAATATTAGAAGGACGACGAAAGTTAAAAAATATATGCATAATGGTAGATGGTATACCAATACAAAGCCAAAAGTCAGTGAAATATTTGGGGGTGCATATAGATAAAGATACTAAAATGTCGGAGCATATAAAGCAAATTAGGGACAAAACATCGAAAATACAAAACGCCCTATGGAAAATTATGCCAAGAAAAGGAATTCTGAGTCATGGAAAGAGGAGAATTTTGACGACTGTTATTCAGTCTGTAGCGCTGTATGCGGCACCGACTTGGGAGGAAGTGCTACGCTACAAAAAATATAGAGGGATGATACGTACGATAGAGAGAAAAACATCAATAATGATAACATCAGCGTACAGAACCGTGTCGACGGACTCAGTGGGTGCGCTAGCGGGATGCCCTCCAATGGACCTCCTAGTGTGGGAAAGAGCAAGAAATTGGGAAACAGGAGGGAACCGGAAACAAGAGAACCATACAGAAATGGTAAGAAAATGGCAAGAGAGATGGGAGAGTTATAATGGATGGACAAAAACTTTTATTAAAAATGTCGAAGAGTGGCGCCAGAGGGGGCCAAGGACTGATTATTATATTACGCAGGCGATAACAGGTCATGGAGTTTTCGCGACATACTTGCATAGTATTAAAAAGATAGAGACAGACCTGTGTTGGTATGGGTGCGGCGAGAGAGATACTCCACAGCATACCATCTTTGAATGTGAACGATTTGAAAGAGAAAGAAAAATGATGGAGCTAAGAATAGGACATGTAGTAGACCAGTACAACATGGCGGATCTCCTTGTCAGCGATAAGAATAAGGCTGAAACAATAATGAGCTACCTGAGAACAATAATGAGACAGAAGGAGGAAGAGGAAATAAGAAGAAAGGGAGGGAGCGAAGATAGGGGGGGGACCTTTCCCCCCCATCCCGGTATGATGGGTAAGATTAAATTAACAAAAATTTAATGATTCTTTATGCCACCCGGAATTGGACGACTACATGAGAGGAGTGCCCGGAAAGAATTGAAAAGAACGTGAAAATGGAAAGATGGAGGGAGTGAAGATAGGGGGGGACCTTTCCCCCCCATCCAGGTATGAAAGGTAATATTAAACTGACAAAAAATGTAATGATTCTTTATGTCACCCGGAATTGGACGACACCATGAGAGGAGTGCCCGGAAAGAATTTAAAAGAACGTGAAAATGGAAGGATGGAGGGAGTGAAGATAGGGGGGGACCTTTCCCCCCCATCCAGGTATGAAAGGTAATATTAAACTGACAAAAAATGTAATGATTCTTTATGTCACCCGGAATTGGACGACACCATGAGAGGAGTGCCCGGAAAGAATTTAAAAGAACGTGAAAATGGAAGGATGGAGGGAGTGAAGATAGGGGGGGACCTTTCCCCCCCATCCAGGTATGAAAGGTAATATTAAACTGACAAAAAATGTAATGATTCTTTATGTCACCCGGAATTGGACGACACCATGAGAGGAGTGCCCGGAAAGAATTTAAAAGAACGTGAAAATGGAAGGATGGAGGGAGTGAAGATAGGGGGGGACCTTTCCCCCCCATCCAGGTATGAAAGGTAATATTAAACTGACAAAAAATGTAATGATTCTTTATGTCACCCGGAATTGGACGACACCATGAGAGGAGTGCCCGGAAAGAATTTAAAAGAACGTGAAAATGGAAGGATGGAGGGAGTGAAGATAGGGGGGGACCTTTCCCCCCNCAAGTAAAACAGAGCTGGTTATATTGGAAGGAAGGCGAAAGCTTACGAACTTGTGCATAATGGTGGACCGAATGCAGATCCACAGCAAAAAATCAGTAAAATATCTAGGAGTGCATTTAGATAAAGATATCAAAATGACAGAACATATAAGGCAAGTAAAAGATAAAACATCTAGAATGCAGAACAACCTAAAAAAGATTATGTCAAGAAAAGGAGGTCCGGGTCAAGGAAAAAGAAGGATAATTGCCACGGTAATACAGTCGGTTGCGTTGTATGCAGCACCAGCCTGGGAAGCAGCACTACGCCATAAAAAATACGTAGAGATGCTACGCTCAATAGAGCGCAAAACATCAATAATGGTTACATCAGCATACCGGACTGCGTCGACAGACTCAGTGGGCGCTCTAGCCGGATGCCCCCCACTAGATCTCCTAGTATGGGAAAGATCTAGAAACTGGGAAACAAGGGGAAATAAGAAAGAGGAAAACCATGAAGAGATGATCAGAAGATGGCAAGAGAGATGGAAGCTGTATACTGGCTGGGCCAAGACCTTCATCAAGAATGTCAAAGACTGGCAACAGAAAGGCCCTAAAAGTGACTACCATACTACACAGGCTATTACGGGCCACGGAGTGTTCGCAACGTACCTGAAAGAAATTAAAAAGATGGAGTCAGATTTGTGTTGGTTTGGTTGCTTGGAGAGAGATACTCCGCAACACACGATATTTAAATGCATACGCTTTGAAAGAGATAGAAAGATTATGGAGTTAAAAATGGGACAAAAGGTAGACGAACAAAACGTGGCCGACCTCCTCGTCAGCGATAAAAGCAAGTCTGAACTGATAATGGAATATCTAAGAACAATAATGAGAACGAAGGAGGAAGAGGAAAAGAGGAGAGAAAAAGAAGAATCATTAGGAAGAATAGAAGAACAAGAACAAGGGATGTAGAGAGGAAGGAGAAGAAGAGATGAGGGGGAACTTTCCCCCTCACCCAGGTAGGAAATAAATAAAAACTATTTCAAAAAATTTATTATTTTCTTTGTCACCCAAAACGCCTACGGCTGCCTGGGATGAGGTGGGAAAGAGAGAGAAGACGAACAAGAGAGGAAGAAGGGAAGAGAAAGGGGAAGTAAATAAGAAGTGGAACTGAGGGGGAATATTTCCCCCTCACCCAGGTACGATATAACTAAAAATTATTTCAAAAAATTAATCTTACCTTTGTTATGGTCCTGACCGCATCGGACGGAAAGAAGAGAAGGAGAAAGAGGAAGAGGAAATGAAGGGGAACCCTCCCCTTCACTCAGCACCGCTTGGAACGAGGTGGAAGAAGAGGAGACGAGGGGGAATTCTCCCCCTCATCCAGGTACGAATTAAATATAAATCGTTTCAAAAAATTAATGTGCCTTTTGTTATCGAGAATGTCCATGACGGTGTTGGAGACGGATTGCAAAAGAAGGAAAAGGACGAGGAAGGAAGACGAAGGAAGAAATGAAAAAAAAGAAAAAAGAAGATGAAAAGAGGGTAGACTGTGAAGTTACAGAAGATAGATGGAAAGAAGAGCAGAATTAAATATCCGCACCATTTAGGTGCGGGTTCATACCCCGACGATATGCCCTGACGGGCGATTCCGGGAAGAGAGGGGGGTTTTTAGTGGGTAGTCTTGGGGCTAGAGATAGTCCCACACTCCCGGCCGAAACAGAAGCATCCAACAACATCCGGAAGGCGCCAACAGTAGGCCGGGGTGCGTAACGCATTTTCCGCATAAGGTTGGGCGGTGGCTCAGCGGTTAAACTCTCGGGTTGACACGCAGACGTTCCGGGTTCGAGCCCCGGTTTAAACATATTCACCAAGCCGCCCACCCGTCCTTCGGAGGGGACGTTAAGCCGTCGGTCCCGGCAACCAGTCGTACACCTCTGGTTGTCGTTATCACCCATGTGTGTAAGGGGTTTGAACACATGGCTGAACGCGCGTTAGCGCTCATGAAGCACACACCTCGTGAGAGCGTACCCGGGCCAAGGTTGATGAGCAGCTTTGCTCCACCTTGGTACGGAGGGGCCAGCGAGTGAGTGGCATCGTTGAGCGGCACCTGACAGGGGCGAACCCGCACTGGGCCTGTGCCATAGCACGCCCGGTGAGGGGGGTCGGTCAGGAAGCGGAATCAGCCAGAATTCGAGTTAAGCTCGCGTTTAACATCTCAGACCTCTTAGAGGAGGATGTACAAGGGGCCCGTTGGGGCCTAGGTGCCGCGTATAGTATACGCACTCCCCGTAACATACATACATACAACGCATTTTCCCCTCCTCTGCGCCAAAAAAAAAAAAAAAAAAAAAAGGGTTGGGTTGGGTTGGGTTGGGTTGGATTAGTCGCGGTTGAGTATTCGTCGATGACGGACGTGTTTGCCGTGCGCTCAGCGAG